CAGTATCCCTCTCCTGGAAGCCACATGGATGGAAATAGCCCTGTCATCTGCTAACATACATTTCCCAGAGGCGCCTCATGTGAAGAAGTTGGTTATTGGTGCAGTATATCGACCCCCAGCCCTTACTCCATCAAGTATCAACACCTTCTGCAATTCCCTCCAGCACTGTCTAAGTACCCTTAAGAACCGAACAACATCTATCATGTTGATGGGAGACTTTAATGCTAAGTCATGTCAATGGCATGGAACTACCACGGATGCCGCTGGTCGCCAGCTTCACAGTCTTTTCGGCATGTTCTCTCTCACGCAGCTCGTAAATTTTCCAACACATGAGTCATTGTCTGGCATGGGGGCAGCTCTCGACCTAGTTGTCACTTATATACCGGACTCTATATCCTGCCTCCGTGCTACAGCACCACTTGGTCAATCCGATCATTCTATCGTGGTTGGCCACATCCGTACTGTACCCTGCCCAGAAATGCCCACATATCGTTCTCGTGATGCTCGTTCGACTCCCCTGGATATCCCTAATTTTAGTGTATTTTCTTTGGATTCTCTAGACAGCAACACTGTCGCGAGTATGAATACTGCCATGTCCCACATACATTGGCCAGCAGCTTTGAGCCTGGAGAGGCGCGATCCTGACATATCTGTGGACAAATTTTACTCTATCTTCCATAACATCTGTGCAAGATTTCTGCCCAGGCGGAAGCCGCCGGCTGTCAAGCGTATCCATATGACCCCCCCCCCCCCCCCTGGCTGACCAGTACCCTCCGACATCAAATAAAGAAAAAACGAGATTCGTATAGTGTTTACCGAAAGTTTCCCTCGGCTGACAACTTCGCTATTTTCAGACGAGAACGAAACGTTACTCGCAATATGTCTCGAACTGCCCTTCGACTGTACATCTCATCCCTAAGTGCATCCACGGCAAGACCCGCATCACCAAGTTTATTCCAGTTTGTCCGGAAGCTTCGATCTCCCCAAGGCAACAGCAGAACGACTGTAACTCAGCTCTCTGTCGCTGGTACTCTATATTCTGACCCTGTGGATGTGGCAGATGCTTTGAACGAACAGTTTATTGGTTTTGGAACACAAGATGATCCTTCATGGAATGTGCCAGACTTCAAGCCACCCGACGCCCCATCACGTGGAAGAACTACACCTACGTTGCAAGATGTCACCACCACGCCTTTTGCTGTGGCAAAGCAAATCCGCAACCTTAAGACCCGAAAGGCTGCGGGAGCGGACGGTATTTCTCATGAACTCCTGAAACTATTTTGTTCCAGTATTGCATACCCTCTCAGCCTCATCTTTAACCTCACTTTCGCAACTGGTGCTTTCCCTGCTATTTGGAAACACGCAATTGTAACTCCGGTCTTTAAGAACAAGGGAAGTAAGCTCGATGCATCGAATTACCGCCCGATCTCGTTATTGTCAACAATCTCCAAGCTGTGTGAACGTATTATGTACAACCACTTATACACTTACCTGTCTCCTGTTCTACATCCGTCCCAGTCTGGATTCCGAAAAGGCGACTCTACGTCCTGGCAGCTTCTCAGACTTGTTCAATCGATGTCTTCTGTTCGTGAGAACGGCCATTACAGCATGCTATGTTTCTTTGATCTAAGCAAGGCCTTCGACACAGTATGGACACGCGGGCTCCTATACAAGCTGTCGCGCCATGGAATCCATGGTACTTGCTTCACTTGGCTCAGTACTTACCTGACGGGCAGACAGCAAAGGGTGCGTGTCGGCTCTGCTCTGTCTGCCAAAGGGCATGTACGGTCTGGAGTTCCTCAGGGATCAATCCTGGGGCCTCTCCTCTTTCTTATGTATGTAAACGATCTGGCAGAAATGGATCACACATCACTATATGCTGATGATACAGCACTACTTGTGACAGCACCCACTCTCCCCGAGGCTAGTGCCAAGTTACAGTCCAACATAGATGGCGTTATTCATTGGATGGAAAAATGGAAATTGCAGCCCAAGTCTTCGAAAACTGCTGTAATGTGTATCCCCCCCAGTTGTTCCTGTGACCTATCTTCATTAGTAACCAGTCCCTTCACCTTTCCAGGCACCACAACCCCGCTCTGCATCGTTGAAAAAGACAAGCATCTTGGCGTCATTATTGACCAACACTTAACCTGGAAATCCCAGATCGAACATTTAGACAGCCGTGTTAGCTCAGTAATGGGATTTCTCTCATCACACATCACCCACCTCCACACCGACTGTCGCCATGATATCTACACATCTTACATTCTGCCTATTTTTAATTACTGCTGCATAATTTGGGCTGGCATTTCTAAAACACTGATTGCTCGACTCGAAGTTATGCATAGGCGTCTTTTGAAAATATTATTTCGGCTTCCTCGCCTGACTCCAAGCGCAGACTTATACCGCCTTGCTTCTGCTGTGCCGCTCTCGGTCCGCGTGCGTTTTTTGGCATGCCAGACAATTCATAAAAGTAAGCTGGGCATTGCTCCTCTTCATGCTCTCTCCTGCCTAAGCTGGTTTGCTCAATCTCAAGACAAGAAACTCTCTCCGCTTCCCTATTGCGCGGTCCGCCTCTATGATAACATCTCCTCTCTTCCTTGCTTACCGCCATTGGTCTCTCCTCCCACAACATCTAAAATCCTGCCAATGTTACAATACATTCACACAGCTACTGCAGAATGCAACATACTAGTTGATATCCAGCCCTGCCCTAGCTTCTCTTGCTTTTCAGTTCCCCTTTCATTCTTTTTCTTTCTCCCCTCTCGCTCTATTTCCACCATGGCTGGCTATCGCCCACATCACCATTTCATTGGCTAGTGCCACGTGATTGTGAATGAATAAATAAATAAATAAATATAAGATCAATTTAGTCCGAAACTTAGTAGACAGGGCAAGATGAATTTGCTCCCAGAGTAAATTGCAACCTGAACTCGATTTCCTTCGCTCTGCTTTTCTTAAGAACGGGTACCCATCACCACCTTTAGCGAAACTACTCACGAACATCAGCCCGGCTCTGTGTCGTGTCTTCATGTGCCTACCTTGGAAAGGCAAGGAGTCGACAAGAGTCAGTCGTACTGTCAAGTCCATTGTCCGCAAGACTTATTATGCAGTGAGCGCAGCAACTGTCTCACAAGGACACGCTCGTTCACGGTGTTGAAGGACGTCCTGCCGACCAACTATTTGAGCCATCTCATCTACCATTTTGAATCCCGACAGTGCGGTAGTCGGTATGTTGGCAGGACGCTTCAACACTTGTAGGAACGTGTCAAACAACACGTCACAATGTCCTTGCTGTCACAAGCGGTCAGGACAAATAGGCCAAAACGGGGGAGACCGTGAAAACACCCGGTGCCTACTGCTACATCCAATGCAGCGCCACCAGTAGCGGATACAACACTGGAATACACAGGATCGCAACGGATGGATCAGGTGCCACTCCTGACAATGGCACCGCAGCATGGGAGACCCCCGGATGACCGCTTGTTGACAAACACGACGGCGGCACCGGGAAGAGCGTAAGGAGAACGAAACTAAAACAAAACAAATTGGAGGAGAAGCCAGAGACTAGCGGAGGCACGACTAAGACAGGTCGAGAAGGTGGAGCCAGGAGACGCAGATGAAGTTACAACCTCAGGAAAGAACGGGTCAAGGAGAAAAAAGCGGTGGCGCGGTGGGATGGATATAGCTGATGATGTGGATGAGGAAGAGGACAGTAGCGGCGAGAAAGATCTGGAGGCGGAGGGCGAGAGTGAGAGTGACGAGGATTAGTTTGACAACTACAAGCATTTGGTGTTCATTCCGGAATGTTGTAAGGTATTTAATTATTCCTGGTTTAGTGTTATTTGTTGTGCACGTTTCTTTAGGCAGTTGCAGGTGCTAGAAGCTGTCTATATTCGTACACGTCACCCTGTTCTGTGTAAGCAGAAAGAATACGTTGTAGCACTCACACTCTTCAAATAATACGCTCTCACCCTTTGTTGTCCACACACGTACACATAGCTGCTACATTCATCTACCGCTACCATTTTCACATTCAATGCATAAGCTCACATTGATGGTGTAGATGACGATATGTGCAACCGCGAGCTGCTATTTTGTGATTATTATTATTCTAGCTATATAACTGGTTGTTTTAGTGTTTCTTACCAGATGACGATGTTCCACTGATGATAGTCACGACAAAACGTTCTGGATATTATAAAATTTAATAATTGTTTTATACAGTAAAACCTGGTGTAAGCGACCTCTGTGTTTAGCGACCACCTGCTTTTAATGACCGTTTTCCATGCACGGACAGTTCTACACGGAAACTTCACTGGATACAGCGACCACCTGCCTTGCGCGACCAGCGACCGACTTTTTAGTGTACCAAGTGCCATATTGGACCTACACACAGCGACCAAAACTAACCAAAAGTGCCATATTGGCTGTCAGGTTTGACAGCAACAGGGTTGAAATGCGCTCTGATTCATGTGCATGCAGTCAACAGAAGTGACAAGGGACAGTGCAGGATGCGCTGCATGCATTTGAGTGAGGCGTGCAATGCTGCAGAAAATAACTATATGCTCCACACATGTTCGTATGAGTACTGAAGTACATGGAAGTACAATCATGCACATGTATGCACACAATCCGATATGTCACGAATGTATGGGACCTGGTTCCAAAGACCACCTGGCTTTAACGACCGCTTTTGCTTGCACCGTGGGGTGGTCGCTTAAACCAGGTTTCACTGTACATGGTTATGAGTGCACAATTGGTTTTAGTCATTGCTATTTTACGCCGATGGAATCCTCGTCGGTTATTGAAATCAGTATAATTATTGGCTATTGAATTTTGGTTAGACCGGAACCCCCCCACCCTGGATACAACGCTGGATGCGCCCCTGCATTGACCCACCCAACTAAATCAGTCAAAACACCTTAAGCTGAAATCTCCAAAGTCACGGCTATCTTGATTTGTCTCTGTGCTCTAGAACATGGAACATTGCCTCTCACCTCTGCCAATCTCACGCCCCACCTGTACGGCCGAACATGGTACGATGTGAGTACGGCACCTGTCTCGTGTCATTATGGACTCAGTGTGCAGTCTCCCTGCATCAGTCAGTGCTGTGCGTGTCTCTTGTGTCTCTTCCAAGAACTCATCGACGTCACTTTCCGTCTTGATAGCTGTACAGCCCGAAAAGAACCAAATTCAATTAACTAATACAATATATTTCTACCATGCTAAGCTGCAAAGGAGGTACTGGAAATTCCGATGGGGCCATTTCACAGATAACTTTTCAAAATAGGAACAATGGTGATTTGTGCTCAAAGTAATATTTTGATAAGTTTTTCCATCAAAAATCACAACCCTCTTGCCTGCTCAAAATGCCACACAGCTCAAATTCAGTGTTTGTTTGTTTGTGCCATCAGCATGCCTGGCGCTATCCCGTACCTGTCCCGTATCGTACCATCAAGGACAGCATCGGCATGCCTGGCGCTATCCCCTACCTATCCCGTACCGTACCATCAAGGACGGCATATAATATGCGAATCGGTATGCCTGGCGCTATACCGTACCTGTCCCGTACCGTACCATCAAAGAAAACTGGCCACAATATTCAAATACGGCTTTCACATGTAAGATCATAACGTTAAGCAACTTGGAAGAATGAGTATGTATGCGAAGAGTATCTGAGGAATGCATGCAGGGCGATGGTGCGGGCTCGAATCCTAGGTTATGTCCAAAAAAATAGGAGAAATGAAACAATTACACCACCCCTATGCTTTTTTTGCCTTTGTCATCAAGGTGGTAGACGGCGCCGTCGTATTACCCTCGAATGCAAAGAGAAAGTTGACTCTCGCTAGGCAAAAAAGCATAGCATAGGGCCCTGAGCTTCTAAGCTCTCCCGTTCGGTTCTTTGGGAAAGGGTTGGAGCACCCCCTCCCCCCCCCCCTCTCATTCCAGATCCTGCGTACACCCCTGTCAAGGTATATCTCAGCATTGAAAAAGTACCTTTCAGTGTTTTGATGGCGCATGGCACTGGTTCCTTACCTAGTTCCTTGACTTGTTCCCTGACTGGTTCCTTGACTTGTTCCCTGACTGGTTCCTTGACTTGTTCCCTGACTGGTTCCTTGACTTGTTCCCTGACTTGTTTCTTGACTTGTTCCTTGGCTTCAGGATAACAGTGCGAATGTAAACAGGTCCAAACGCCCATGACAACCAGACAGAAACACAGCAAACAGAAACAATTGAGATCTGGCATGGTAACAAAACCATTTGTTCCAGTTACTAGTATACAGTATGTGTGCTACACCCTCTGTACTGCCACAGCGTTTTGATCCACTTATGCTTGCTTGCTATTTGACTTTTAAAAAGTATTCTCCCCACAACCCAACTAAACAGTACGATTTCATGGAAGCGACTTGGGCGGTTATTTTATCGCACATTTGTTGCTCCCCTCACTGGAGCTCGCAATTTTCTGTCAATTTGACTTCACACTTGACTGAATCACGGCTGCCATCCATCATCATCATCATCATCATGAGAAAAGCCTCTTTTACGGGCAAAGCAAATGTATATCATTACAATATGTAAAGTGAACAGGGGAAATCAACACAAAACCAACCGGAAAATGATGAAACACAAAAGCAGTCAAGGAAGTAAATCAATACAAAAACAAGCAATGAACACAGAGTAATAAAAGGGGAAAAAACCAAATAGCATTATATTAAGTTGAGGCCAAAGGCAGCACCCTACTCCGCCATCATCATCATCATCATCATCATCATCATCATCATCATGTGACCAAGCCGCTTTTACGGGCAACAATATTATTAATTATATAACGCAAGGTATTGTATTAAAGAGCAATTTTCTGGAAATAATGTTAAAACACGAAATATTAAAAATGCATTATCACACCGTAGCCACTTTTATGGGCAAATTCCAATACAAGGCAATAAGAAAACGAGGATGAAGTTAACCTTCTAACCCAAAGAAAAGACAAAAGATGTCAACAATAGAACTACAAATATAAAAAACAAACATCAGGTCATAAAAACTACTTTAAAACATAACCAAATGACAGCAAAGCGTGGAGAATGAGATTTACTTACAAAACAAAAGTAGTCCTACTATGCTTACAAAACAGAATCTACCTACACCACTAAGGAAGAAACATTAAATGATTGCAGTCTCAGAAACACCGGCCTCTATCTAACGACCCATCAAACAATAACTCCTGAAATTCTTGACTGACTTTTTCTGGTAGGAGCTACGGCAGCCACGAAAACAGGTCACTGCCCAACGGAGTAAAGTGAACGAGAGCAGGCACCGCAATCGACCTATAACCAGCGAGTAGGCCAAGTCACTGTGTTTATCGACATACTGGGCTGCAAGACACTTGAGAAAGCGGTCTGCCTCCCGGCCACAGATGCCATTCGTGGCGAAAACCAACGGGGTGAACGTGCCTCGGTCTATATTCACAACACGCGCTCCGTATTCCCGCTTTTTCATGCCTTCATGCTTTTGGAGATGGCGCTGGACTTCTGGACGCGACAGCAGGTTTGGCTTTGGGTGAGTCACCCGAACATCAAAAAAAGCCTCCTGCTGCCTGGACCAGAAACCCCGCGCCCTCACATCGAGGCGAGCTTCGGATTTCCTGTTGGCTGTACGATGGGGAAGGTCCTCCCCATCAAATGGCGCTAGCACCGGCTCCACCTCCACGTCAGACAATACCTCCAACAGTACACCCGCCAGCAAATCGCGAACATCATTATGGCGTGCGATGGTGTAGCCGCCAGTAGGACAAGCCATTGCATGCTCAGTGGTTAGAGTTGCTCCACAAACACAAGTCTCAGGGAGGCCATCCAGCTCCAAACGGTATCGGAAGCAGAGAGCATCCCGGAAATCAGATTTATTGAGTATGGTTACTGGCTGATTGTATGACGGTTGGGCGGTCAGCCAGCTGGAGGTGCCTTTCTCACCCGCTGTTTCTAACAGTAGCCGCTGGCACGGAGACAGTCCAGGGCCAATCTCCGCCTGCACACCACGCGAAATCTGGTGCCGCTGTGCTCTCACCCGGCGCAGCCCAGCACGCACCGCAGCAACAGCCTCAGCGACACCACACGGACCACTAGGATTAGTCTCGCCAGGCTCTTCGACGCCTAATCCCACGGCAACAGGCTCCGCACGCAGCGCAGAGAACGATCCGGCATCAGATAGTTGGTCAAGATCAGGCGGAGGCGGACCCGCGGTGGAGGCGACAACGTGCCAGCATAATCAGGCGGAGGCGGTCGCACATGTGGCTGGTCTAGACCAGGCGGAGGCAGCAACGCACGAGCACAGTCAGGCAGAGGCGGTTCCGCAGGCGGAGGCAGTGACACGGCAGCACGGTCAGGCGAAGGCAGTCGCACCGGTGGTTGGTCTAAGCCAGGTAGGGGCCGTCCCACAGGTGGAGGCATCGACGCACCAGCACAGTCAGGCGGAGGCGTCTGCGGAGGCCGAGGCAGCGACGCATCAGCACAGGCAGGCAAAGGCGACCCAGCAGGCAGAGGCGGTGACATATTAGCACAATGATGCGGGGGTGGTCCCATAGGTGGTTGGTTAATATCACGCAGAGGCGGTCCCGCAGGTGGAGGCAGTGACGCACCAGCACAGTCAGGCGATGGCGATGATAGCGCAAGCTGAACCAGAGGATCAGTGGCACTGACAGAGGCCTGATGTTCCCCAGCCGCCGTCTTCGACAATATGGGGACGGCGAGGCCCCCATGCCGGACAGGCAAAGCCATTAGCCGACGTTGGTGGCTGGCCTGCGCAATTCCATGACCCAGCAAAGCCGGCAGGAAATGGTGACTGAGGATATCATCCAAGGCCTCCAAAACGCCTGTCGAGAACGGCATTGAGCGCAAGTGGTAAGTCCACCGTGATGACAGGGCCTTGGAGAAGACGGTATACGCCGCATGAGGTTGAGTCTGGGCGATCTCACACAAGGTGCGCAGGTCACCAGCCCATCTATCCGCCAACTGCCCCATATAAGAGCGGCAGAAATCTTCTGACCCTAGGGCGCCCCCGAGAAATCGGCCGCCGGCGGCGGTAATCTGGATGCCACTGTCGAAGAAGATTTCTCTGGCCCTATCCAAATGCTCTGGCTTTGTGATCAGAACAGTTTTGGACGCGTTCGGGTAGTAACCATAACCAGGGCCAATGGCCCGGAGTTCATCCCAGTAATTCCGAAGGCGAGCCAGCAGACCTGCACCCGAGTCATCATCCGCGAACCAAGATTGGACAACACTGGGGCATGTCGCAGCCAGGCGCCTGACCAGTGGCATGATCGCCACAGCATAGGCTGCCATAGCCAGTGGGTCGCCCTGAGCCGTGCCTTCACGCGATTCGATTTCACCTCCACCAGACACAAGCAGGCGGGAAACTGATCCATACGTGTTACGAAACACCGTTGCAAGCGGGGGGCAGAGACGCGGAATGTTGTGTAGCGCAGCCTGCCTATTCAATGCATTATTGGAGGCGTCCACAAGCAAGACACCCTCAACCCCCGGGCCAGCGAACAGACGGGACATTGTGTGTACGGCGGCTTCGCAGGCAGATGGAACGCCCACACAGAGTTGGACAGGAGCTGTTACACTCAGCACATCACTTTCCACTACTTACATCACGGCACGACCAATGATACGCCGGTACACTTCGCCCACAGCGATGGGGCGCACGCCAGGTTTCTTATCGAGGGGTATTAGGCGAGCGGATGTAAATCCAATCATCGCGCAACCGGCAAGGCGCTCGGTACATATGCACCTCCCCGCGGCAGCAAGGGATGAACACAAACGCCTTGACGAGGCGTCATAGCACGTCAGCATTCGGCACCACGCCTCAGCGTCCAGGCCAGACGGTCCAGAGGAACCCTGCATGCCTCGGCCGATTTTCTTTATTAGCTCAGGGGTTATTTGTTGAAAGATGACCTGGTTGACAATCTCGGGATCACCCGGCAAGAGAGCCGAGGCAGGCGGTGTAACAGATGGCGGATGCTTCTTCAACAGGGCGTCACGGACCGTCTCTCTCGTGGTATCATCCACAATGTCGTTCATGGAAAGGACTCCACCAGAAGCGTTTGGCGCCAGGTAGCGAACAGCAGAAGAAATCTTTCCATTGAAAATGAGATTAGCGAACACCACGTCACTCTTCTCCTGTAAGGCGGGCCTGGGAGAGCCTCCGCCCGATGCCGGCAAGTGCGCCTGGATACAAAGGCACTCGCTCAGTAACTGTGGAATGTCGCAATCTCTCCACAGCACGAGACGTCTGCGAAGATGCTCACTATGGTTTTTCATGATCTTTGATTTGTGTGGTTTTTGCAAGAGAAGGTGACAAGCAACGCACACAGCTCTCCATGCGACATCTCTTTTACCGGAGTCATCCGCAAACCCAAGGATCAAAGATGCGAGCTCGTCAACAAAGGCTGCACCAGCGGATCCATGGGGTATAATGAACAGATTGCGTCTCCAGCCTACCACGACCTCGTAGGCATCAATGATTCTCGCGGAAAACGGATCCCTGGCTACGCTCGCAACTCCACTACCGGCATCCGCTGGGCTGGGGATAGGCCTCGACCGTGCCTGAGCGGTTGATTCCACATCCACCTGGCCGCCACCAGCGCGGTGCTCCGTATTCATTCCATAATCCTCGGAGCTGTCAAGCACACTGCTTGGCTGGCTGCCACCGAGATCATCCAGGAGCCGGGTATCCTCTCCAGGACAAGAGGGTAGGGTGGCACTTCGATTAACCGTGGCAAGGTGTGGGGAGCACTCATCACCCTCCTCGCCATTCTCACTAGAGCCGGAGGCATTCTCACTAGAGCCGCCATCACCCTCCTGGCTGCTAATAACAGAGGCATCAAAAGCACTTGCCACGGTGAGAGGAGGCGCCAAATCCCGACAGAAAGAATGAACAACCGGAGGCCGCGACTGTAGACTTGCACCATCCACACCACAAGAGAGAGCTGGGTCCACACCAGCACTGGCGATAGATGGTGGTTGGCTACGTAGCACTCTGGCAGCTGCAGACACATTACAGCAAGTGCTGGGCGTAGACCTACTCGAGTAGCAATCGCTACAAACTCTCCCAGCCTTCACACACGAACATCGTGTACATGCTCTGCCCGTCTG